AGGAGGCGTCGGCTCCCTCTGCTCCGCGCCGTCCGGGTCCGCAGCCTCCCGTCCCCAGAGCTGCGCCTGGGACTTCAGAGCACCGCAGAGCCAAGTTCCCTTCCCGGAGCCTCTCACCTGCCGATCTTTCTTGTTAATTTCTGCTCCTGGGCCCGTCCTCCGCCCCTAAGAAGTTAACAGGTTTTGTCATCACCGCGTTTGTGAGGTGCTGTGTGGTCACTGCTGTCGATTCAGGGAGAAGGGACAGGTCAGGAGCGCACAGCTCCGGGTCGGTTCTTACCGCAGGCGAGCGGTCTCAAGGTGGCCCGGTGACCCGCCGGTACCAAGACCCAGGGCGTCTCAGTTCCGTTAGTCGACATCCTGCGCCCTCGCCTGGGTGAGGGTGTGTGTTGTTAACCTCGGGCCGAATTGAGTGGCTGTGGGGAAAGCTCTGCGCCGGTACCGGCCGGGTCTCGCTCCCGTCGCGGGTCCTGGCGCGGAGACCTGGTAGGAAGCGGCCGTCGGCGGGCGCAGCGCTGCTCTGGAGCCCTCTGTTTAAAGCGTGCTTTTGCAAGGTGAGAGGAAGGGGAAGGTGGGCTCACACCTCCCTTTTCCCAACCTCTTGCTTTGAAGAGCAGATCTAGAAGACGGAATCAGCCCGAGCACCGGAAGGTTATTTCCGTGCTATCCGGTGAAGGCTCGGATCTGTAGAATGGAATTGGTGCGGATTCTCTCCAGGGCTTGTCCTGAGGAGTAACCGCTGAGATCCCAATGGGCTTCTGTGGTGGAGCAGAGGCGGCTCTGGAGCCAGGCTGGTGACCACAGTGCTCTTGCCGGTTGTGTGGCCGGGGAAGCCCTTTCTCGCTCCTAGTCTTCCTTTCCCCTCGGCCACAGCAGGGAGTGCGGTTCTCCTGCCCAGGCCTGGAGGATGCCTGCAGCTTGGGTGAAGGCTGCTTTACAGCACGTGCTCCACACTTACCCGGGAGGCATTTTAGTAGGTGGTGGAGGGCAGGCGCTCAGCTGCCTGGGACTGAGCCCTGATTGTGTCCCTTACCGTCTCTGTGACCTGGGCCGGTCATCTGTAGCCTCCGTTTCTTCTCTTGTAAGTGTGGGAAAATAATACAGCTGTGAAGACGGAAGGAACTCATGTACACAAAGCACTTCGGACCTTGTTGGATTTATTGTCAGCTATGAGCAGCTGTTGGGCTCCAGCAGCAGAAGTGCCAGGGAAAGAATTTAGGGTAAAGATCTTGGAAGTTTTTTGAGAGGAGGAGGGAGGAGTGTGTGGGAGGGACTGAAACAAAGATCCCAGTTTATGAAGTAGGCGGACCCACGGAGCTCTGAGCCCTCAAGTCTAACTCTCTCAACTTTCCTTCTTAGAAAAATGTGGATTTAGCTCATTTTGCTGATTTCATACATTTTGTGTCTTCAACACAGGGCTAATATTTCCTGAAGATGACTAAATCCAAAATGCAAGTTGGGAAAGTAAAAAAATGAAAATGTGTTATGTACCAGTATCAACTCCCCTCAGTGAAGGCCATCATTTTGTGCTGCAAACAGGGACCAATAAAAATTAAAAATATGTTTCTAAATTATAAGGAAAAATTGGAATTTTACCTTTATCCATACTTTTAAAAAAAAGTTTACCTTTTTTTGTGTGTTTGTGAGGCAGGATTTAACACACACAGGATCTCGCATCAGGGCTTCTTGGGTTCAAGTCCTGTCTCTGTGTGTGCTGGAGAATTACTTAATATCTCTGAGCCTCTACCTCAAAAGAAGGATGATAAGATTACTTAATTAAAAGAATTTTAGCCAGGCACGGTGGTGCACATCTGTAATCCCAGCACCGGGGAGGATGAAGCAGGAGGATTGCCTAGAGTTTGAGGCCAGCCTAAACTACGAACGGAGACCCCATCTGGGGGCATATTTTAAAGAGTGAATGGATTAATATACTTAAATTTTAGAACAGAACTTGAGAATGTTTTACTTTTAAGTATTATAGTCTTCAAAATTATATATAAAGTTAATGTTAACAGATATGTACATTTATGCAAATTTCAACGTAGCCAAACATGTCTACTAACTTACATTGCAAACTTGTTACTAGATTCAAATTCCTTTCTTTGACCCTTACTCTCTACTCCATCTGTAAACTATGCTACCCATAGTGGAGTGACTACTGAAAAGTGATGGTTTCTAACCTTCTGAGTACCAAAAAGTCACTCATAGATCATTAATGTAGATCTGTTAGATTTTGGGGGACAGGTTGCTGAGCAAAAGACTCTGATCCTAGAACCTTGAATAAGACTAAAAGAGCCTGTTAAGCCTGTAATTCTAGTATCCTGGGAGGCTGAGACAGGAAGATTGCAATATATGGTAATATAAATATGATAGGGCTGTATTCCTATTATTAGAAAAACAGTTTTGAATGTATGAAATATTAATAGCCACTAGTTATTAAATGTCCAGTGACCGAGAGAGTTTGCTAGGAGCTTTATGTAAAAGAAATCAAGAGCAATAAAGTATTACAGTTGAAAGCACCCCAGCTCAGTCTGGACTGTGTGGGTTGAAATCTGGGCACTGCCACTGCTGGGCTGTGTGTCCCTGGGCTGAGCTCTTCACTTCCTTGGGTGTCAGCTTTGGCACTTGTGTGATGGGTGGTTAATAGCTCCTATCTCATAGGGAGTGTAGCTCTAGGTTCAAGGAAGGAAGTAAACATTGCACAAATTTAGAGCCTTTAAGAGAAAGAATATTCAAGTACGCCTATAAAATTAGGTCCTGAGTGGCCATTTGTCTAGAATGATAAAGCACAGCAGATGACACGTGTTGACAATCTGACAAACACCACAGATACCACCCAGAGTTAGGTGCCTGTGACAAGTGCTGGAAGCCCAAACTGATAGCCAACTCCATTTCTCCATCATAACACAGCTTTAAATATTGCTTGTCTTGCACATGTGAGAGCCTGCGTTCTATTTCCAGCACTGCTAAAAAATAATAATTAAAAATTAGATAAAAGCAATAAACCCATTATATTTCTTCATGGTTGCAGTGAGGGTTCAGTGAGTTAATTCCGGTGAAGCATTTGCAAATAGGAAGAAACAAGGCATGATTAGCCATTTTCTACTCTTTGCACACAGCCTGGTGGAGTCTCCAAGAACCACACCAAGGTCTCAGCGTATCTGTTTTATAAAAGACAGCTAGGGAAGTTGGTCCAGGAGAAGTAACATACCCAGGCAACTACGTGCAGAGCTGGATTAGAGCCTGGCTGCGTTGATTGCCAAAGCCGGAGCTCTCAATAAATCCGCAAATCACAGGCTACTTTCATATTTATAGCTTAATTTGTTTAAACATGATTTTTATTTGTAGCTCCTGGCACATAGACAGTGCTCAATACATGCTGGTCATAATTCAAACACGTCTTGTGCTGACACATTTCCAATTCTGGGAACTAGAAATATTCTGTGCTTAAGATTTCTTCCAAATTCTCACCCACAACCCTGTCTTTACATTTGGAGGGAAAACAGAGAATCGAGATAACTTCTAAAAAACTCTCTACACAATAAAGCCAGCCAGTAAAAGGTTTTGCAAGCTTCAAGCCCCTCGATAATGCCTCCCTTAAGTACGGGGTTACGGCCGCAGAAAAGGAACTGAACGAATGAATGGGGAAGGAGGATGTTGTGGGAGAAATTCCGGGGATTTGCTCATTCACAAACCAGCCATTGCTCATTCCTTGGGGTCCGGAAAAAAGGGTGGGGAGCCCTGAGAACTGGGTGATGAATCGCGTGTGTCTTTGTGTTCTTCGCTAGCAGTCTTCTCGAAGGCTTGGGTGCGCTGATTTAGGGAGACCTTACTTCATGTACTGTTGGCTCTGTGGTCAGGAATGCCGGTAATGCTCCTGCACCCAAGGATCAGCAAGGCCGAAGTGGAAAGATGAATAATTTAGCTGTTCTTTTTTGGGTGGTGGTGGTGGGGATACTGCACCACTCATTATTTTCCCCCAAGCAAGGCCAGTCTCCTGTATTTTTCACAGATAAAGAAAGAAAACTGGGTGACTTGCCTTATAGCCAGTCGATTTCCTTTTTGGCCCTAAATCTTCCTGAAAGTTGTTTTTCTTCCATCACTGAGGTTATAACGAGGCATCCCACATTGCAAGTGGTTTGTAGTTGAACAATGTGGAGCAGGATTATCCCAAAAGAAGAGCAGTTTTGTGCAGATGATGTAGAATTACCCAGATGGAAATACTCCCAGACTAACACTTCTACACCTGGTGATAAATGGCATCTTGTGACTTTCCAGCATCCAGCCTTGATTTTGTTCCAGGTTCTATAGCATATCTCTAAGGTAATAGACTGCGTAGTTGCAGTGTTTGCGAAAGTCCTCGGAAAAGTGGATACCAGCTGGTCGATGAAGTCCTCAAGGTCATCTGGAGTCATAGATCCAGTAATGGAGTACAAAGGGCTTGCAGTTTGCAAACTCTTATACTGGCTTTAGTTTTCAGAGTGCCGAATTCAAACCTGCTTTTATGCTTTCTTACCAGTCAACCTCGGTCCGTCAAGCATCCAGACTCAAGGGACGTTCACATGCCACGGAGCTAGGGCTTGTCTCTCCTGTCCCTGCTCACGTTCTTTCCGACCAGTGGACTGTGTCAGTCAGCTTTGTGTTACCACAATGACTACCAAGTAAACCTATAAAGAGAAAAGACTGATTTTGGCTCATGGTCTCAGAGGGCTCAGTCCATGGTCACTTGGCCATGTTGCTTGTGAGACTGGCGAGGCAGCACATCGTAATAGAGGAGCATGGCCGAGCCCACCAGTAGATGCTTACCTTGCCTATCACGTTTTCATGAGTGTATTTCCTTTATTTTTTCTTGTAATTAGATATAGCGTGGTCCTTGATGGCAGAGATCATGGCTTGTATTTCTTAATAAATATTGTGGTTTGGACGTCTGTTCTTTTTGGACATCTGTTCCGGTGTTGGAGAAATAAGCTCGAATCAAAACTCTGTGGGAGCTGCTATGAATTAGTGCTTCAGGTAAGCTAGTGGAGGCTCTAAGGTTACTGTGAATAGTAGTTCTTGCCCTGAAGCTGGAAGTCAGTCACTTCTCTGGATCCAGTGTCCACCCCCAGATTCTTAGAAGGCCATGGAAAAATACAAAGAAAATATATAAAGAATCAGGATTTCCTAACCAAAAAGCAATGATGATGACATTGTTCTCATTTCCACTTCCAGTCCTCGCTGGCACCAGGAATCTGTCTGTACTGGGATGCTTTGGGTCTGGGTCAACCTGAGTTTAAGCTTGCATTGAACTATAGCCATGGCGGTCCCCCGAGACATCAGATAGTCATCTCAGAAATGAAAAGCCAACATTGTTTTGTTCTCCTTAAAGTTTGCTTGTTTTCTTGGAAAGCCTAATTTCCAAAGGAGGAAACTTCAAAGAAAATATGCTAGGCCGCAGACAGAATCTGATACCTGAGAGGGGCTCGGCACTCCTTCCAGCCAAGTTACTTTAAGTGCTCCCCAGCCTATTCCTCAATTTTAGGGAGGTAAAGGCCCGAGATGAGCCTGCAGCACTTGGCAAGAACTTGCCTAGGATCCTCATCATGGCCTTCCATCGGTTCCCTGTACACCTCAACTCATGTCAGAGATCAGAAAGCACCATCATCCTGGGAATTGTTTGATTTCCATTTGCAGTTAGGGTGGTTGTCAGTCTAAATCCTGTACTATTTCTATTTATGTTCTATGAGATAACAGACTGTCATGGCTTCTAGTGTTAACTTACATATGCAAATATATTATAGATATTTGTGTTTATGCAAATATATTTATATTGATGTAAAGATACATTTGTATATTTGAGGGATAAAGGAAAGGATAAGAGTAGAACAATTTCTGTTATACTTTCAGTTTTTAATATGCAAATGTATTTATTGTTTATTCCATTATGGTAGTAATCTATAGTAACATGTTAAAAACTGAATATAGAAAAGTATAAAGAAAAAGAACTCGCCCATCCAAAAGTAATAGCCCTTTGCATTTTGGTGCACATGCTACATAGAAAACATGTGTACTTAAAAAACAGATGATTTTAAATACAATGTTTTGTGGTTTGTTATTTTAACATACATTTTGAGTATATTTGTTGGAATCTGCTAGGTTACGCTTGGTAACATACGAGCCCCAAATCTCTACACTTATTTCTTGCTCACACAAGTTGGTCCGCCTTGGTTTGGCAGTGGAACAAGTGTGCATATTGCGATTGCTTGTGAACTTGGGCAGGATGGAGCAGGTACCTTTCCCAACACCTGCAGTTACTGTGCCCAAGGGAGAAGGCCGTGTTGCAGGGTAGAGTGTCTGTAAGCTAGTGCTTGGCCCTGAGTGACAGACGTTATTTACATCATTGGCCAGAGTAGCATATGGCCCCAACTGCGCCAGGGGTCATTCTGGCAAAGAGCTGGAAAAACATTTAGTAAACACCTCAAAGCCTGCTAACATGAGCATTTGTCCACCTCGGTAAATATACATCCACACCATCATTTTCAAGAGCTGTGTTGTAACTAATCAGTGTCACATGATATATGTAACCAAACCATTTTTAAGGGTGCTTTAGGCTATTTCTAATAAAGAAAACTTGTTTTAAAAGTTGCAAAGAATTTTCTTGTACATTCATTTTTTTCCTACTGATTTCTTCTCTCATGATACTTTAAGTATTATATTACACTTGACTGTAAGTAAAATTTTAAAATTAAAAGACATGAATACAGGCATAATATAAAATACTATAGTCACTTTGGAAAATAGTTTGGCAGTGTCCTTTTGTTTTGTTGTTCCTTTTTTTGAGACAAGTCTCACTATGTAGCCTGGGCTGGCCTTGAGCTCATGACGATCCTCCTGCCTCAGCCTCCCAAGTTCGGGGACTACAGATGTGTGCTACCATCCCTGGATCAAGTCAGAAATAAAATGAAACAATACAAATATTCGAATGACCTGTCCTGGGCATTTTATCTAGACTCCTCTTTCAAATTTAAAAACAATCAGAGGACAAGGTAGTATGACCTCTTAGTCAACCTATTCTGAAAAGGATGGACTCATATGGCTCAGAAACCAAGTCTCTGCCAAAAAACAGAAAGTACTTTTCAGGCTGAATAGACTCTCAGGACAGAGGCCTTTCAGAACCGGTGTCACCAGGGTGTTAGAAGCAAGGGGGATGTTCTGAGGGAGCAGATGACGATGTGCTTTTACTGTAGCAATGTTGAAAATATTCTAAACACTCACTGTATTGGATGCATTTTAGCCCCTCCCAGAAGCCACTTAATCCTCTGTTGTGTCTCTTCTCTCTCTAGGTCGGCGGCAGGGTCCCCAGGCAGCTCAGGCTGGTGCAGAGGCTGGTAAGTAGACTCGAGTCGGCTCCGTTCCCCGCTCTCCAGTGCTGCTTTGCACGCATCCCTCCAAAGTTCGTGAGTTGTGCACAGAAGAACCAACAGCACAGGCGCGGATTCTTTTATGACTGTCCTTGAAGTGGTTCTTTCTTTCTTTGCAAGAAAAAAACTTGATTTCAGTGGGACTGCATAAGTACAAAGCATGGAGTTTCAAAGACTTCCTTCAAAAAAATTCTAAATATAATCTGCCTTTATTTTTTATGACATCCTTACCCAGGAAACGAAGACCTCGCTGTTGTGAAGTAAGCCACTAAAGCGTCTAGAGAAGGCCCATCTGCGTATTAAAGAGACACAAGATGAGGCCGGGCAGGGCCCCGAGGGGCGGTGGAGGCTTGAGCAAGTGTTCAGAGACCCCAGGAGGTTAGGAGGTGTGATAGAAAAACACGGTGAATTGGAAAAGTTTTGCAGTGCTAGGCACACGGCCATGCGTCCCGCTCAGAACACTCCGCCTCCCTTCGCACACGCTTATCCCTTGGTTCTTGCGGTTTTCTGAAGCAGACCTGGAAATCTGTGTGTTCGGTTGCAGGGTCGAGGCTGGCTTGACGTCCTGGGTAGCTTTGAAACATTCCTTCCCTCACGGTCACTTTGACTTCGAGGAGGACCGCACGTCCCAGGCGCCAGCTCAGGTGGAGGGCAGCACACGGAACGTGATGTTTTGCGGGCCTGCTTCCCACGGGACGGCCGGCGTTTGTTCCCGCCCCGCAGAGACTCTCAGGACAGAGGCCTTTCAGAACCGGTGTCACCAGGGTGTTAGAAGCAAGGGGGATGTTCTGAGGGAGCGGATGGCGATGTGCTTTTACTGTAGCAAAGTTGAAAATATTCTAAACACTCACTGTATATTTTGACGGCATGACGTGTTTTAAAAACATCTGCTCTTCCTTATGACTGTGTGCAATGAGTTATCCAAGTGCGGGGACGTTTAGGCTGTGGTGAGGTTTTGGCATGCCCTGCCCTACCTGTGGCAGGAGTGTAAGTCAGTTTTGCTCGCAAGCGTCACGATCCCCGCTATGTTTGGGCCAGGATTTGTTCCTCTTCTCTTCACCTGCCTCTGTGTCCTCGTCCATTTTGCTCATCTCCCCCCGCTTCCCCAGAACCCTGAATTTGTGGGTCCGGTATCCCTTCTTTGGTCTTCCTCCCTGCTCACGTACTCATAATAAACAGAGGTACAGAGACAGGTCAAGGGTTGTGAAGCATATGAGGGTCTCTCTGCTTTAAGCGAATAAGTTGTTGCCATTTCCTAACGGCTGGTAGAAAAGAGCGTAGCAGGTCGGAGACCTAGTCCGCGCTGTGACAGGAGCAGCGGTAGCCGGAGGACCGCATTTGCTCGGTTCCTAACCGCAGCTGGAGGGGCCCAGGGGCACCTGCGCCTATGAGTGACGGAGTTTAGAGAAGAGGATGTTAAGCAGTGACCCGAAGGCTGCCTGGTCGTCGTCAGGAGCGGGAGGTTCCTCTTCGTTGTTCGGGATCCTCAGCCAACTCGCCCTGTGCTCTGGAGGGGGCGCCACCTGCCTCAGAACAAGGGCAGCTAGTTTGTGTGCTTGCAAAATGTGCGGGAGCGCCACGCCTCATGGGGAGCGGCCTCCCGACGCCGTACGCCTGCATCGTCCGTTCATCCACTCATGCACCACCGAAGTAGATTGTGGAGTGCCTGGGACCCGCTCAGCAGCGTCGAGCGCACGAGATACGGTGATGCCGAAACAGACAGGACACTGTCTTTCACAGGGCCCGGGAGTGGGAAGGTTAAGACAAACAGACAAAATAAATATCAGTAGTTGGGAAGAGAAACACACAGGTGGGGGAGCTTATGCACATCCGTTCACATGAGATTTCTGATCGCCGCTTTAACACAGCAGCTGGCATGCGCTGAGTGCTTACTATGACCGGGCTTGTCGTAAATGCCGCCCGCCCCAGCGTGAACTACACCCCAGCTTATTTATTTATTTATTATTTGAGAGCAGGTGTTGAAAAATCACCGAGGCTAGACTTGAACTTGTGTTCCTCCCGCCTCAGCCTCCCTGAGTGCTAGGGCTCTGGATTGGTTCTAAGTGCTTTGTGTGCATAATCTAATTACTCTCACCACAATGCTTTGCAGCATTTGACAGATGGGAGAACTGAGGTTCAGTAAGACTGAGCAACTTTTCCAAGATGATGCCATTGGTAAGAAGGGGAGAGCCAGGACTGAGTCCCAAAGATGTGTCAGTTTCCGAGTAATACACCCAACCGCCCTTTCACTTATTTATGTATTCCCCTTTTTCTCATATTCTCACTGAAAAATACTCCGTCTGGCATAGTGGTATCCATTATTTAAGTGGTGACTAGTCTTCTGTTACACCAGAGTTTATAAAGTATTCTACTATGATGAAAACTCAATTTGTTTCCATTTTTTGCCCCACAAACCGTACCCCAAACCCCCTTCTCTTTTGTATATTCTATTATTCCGTTTGTTTAATGCTATGTCTTAGATTTTCAGCGAGGGGACTCCTGATTCAAAGTAGTATACATGTTAGTTTTGATAGATTTTGTCAGGTTCCGTTTCTATCAGCAGGATGAATTGCACATTCCTGCCAGCAGTCAATGTAATTACTTTTTGATCTGACAGTCTCTTAGCTACGAAAGGACATCTCCTAGTTCGTTTTGTTTGCGTCTCCTAGAGTATATACAGACTTGGACACTTTATTTGTTTTTTTGTTTGTTTTTGGTTTTTTGTAGTTGAGACTGACCTGGAACTCACTATGTAGCCCAGGCTGGTCTCAAACTCACAGTGATCCTCCTGCCTCAGCCTCCCAAGTGCTGGGATTACAGGCGTGCGCCACCATGCCCAGCCTTTGGACACTTTAAAGTAGACTTGTTATTAGGCATTCAGAGAAGCTTTTCTCCAAGTTACTTTAATCAGGTCCTCCGCTCATCTTTCTATTGTGGTTTTTTCTTTTTTTGTGGAACCAGGGGATTGAACTCAGGATCTTTGCTTGCCAGACAGGCCCTGGTACCACTGAGCTGAACTGCCAGCCCTCCGTTGTGCTTTTATGCCCCCTAATTGTCAATTTATCGGAGTTCTTTGTATATTTAAATATTTTCTGTCTTCCGAGTTAGATGATTTCCTCCACAAATCTCTCATTTGACTGTTAACTTTGCTTATAGGATATTTGCCATATAAAAGTTTTAAGTTCCTAAGTAATAAACAAGTCTATCTTTTTTATAGTTTCTAAGTTTTTGATCTCGATCATGAAGATTTTCTTCACTCCTTAGCTTAGTCTGTTTATATGATCTTTTAGCTTTTCTTAGCAATCTTAGAGGGCTGGGGATTTAGCTCAGCGCTGTCTGCACCTGCCTCGCAAGCACAAGGTCCTGAGTTTGATCCCTGGTACCATCCTGCCAAAAAAACAAAACCAAAAAACCCAAACAGAAACCTCTTCGAATTTTCAAAAAGCCTTTTATTTATGTTTATTATATTTTTTTCAGTACTGGGAATTGAACCCAGGACCTGCACGCTAAGCTCCCTTCCCAGCACCTTTTCAATTTTGAGACAGGGTCTCTCTGAGTCCCTAAACTGACCAGGCTGGGCCCCCGAATTCTCGGATTACCGACTCGCTCACCGCACCTGGCTGCTGTTACACGTTTTTAACACGGACTTTGCCTAGCCCAGTGTTCCGCAGTGATCTCTCCAGCACTGACCGGGCCCATCACGCTGTCCTGTGCGTGTCCTCCATACTCCGCAACACCTGCCCGGGTACAGCCCAAGATCGTACGGGACCCTGGAGACACGGCCCTGCCTGCGTGTGCAGTCTGCGGTCCGGCGCGCGTCTTCCTGTGGGGCGCCCTAACCCTTCACGCCCTTCCCTTGGATGGGCCGAGTGTGCGCGGCACGGCTGTGCGTTGTGCCCTGTGTAATACCACTGTGCCCTGTGTTCTTTTCGAGAGGGAGAGGGACTAATGCTCCGTAGGTATCTTTGGATCGTCACACGCTAGTGTTTTCCCTGCACTGGGAGGAAGAGTGGAGGCAAATTATTTCTGAGGTGATAAAGAAAGCCCAAAATTATGGTGTCTAAGAAGATGGCTAGGCCAGAATAAAACATCGAAAGGTTGATCCGGTGGGAGGGGTCACGGGCCGGGGCAGCTCTCCCCCCGCACGGTTCCGGATGGCAGCGTGGGTAATTCGGGAACTCACATGAGTCATCCAGAAACCTTTGGTCCCTCAGGCAGCTAATTAAGACACTCCCGGCTTTAAACTACTTTTCTATCTGTTGATTTTGTAGGAAAGAATAATGAAGAAATTGCATTCTGTCAGAGGAAGATTAGTCCCCCCACTATTTTGCAGTTGACACCCCAAACAACACTATCACTGAAGTGGAAATATGGAAAGCATGTTGGATTTTGGAGAACTGTGCAGTGGGAAAGGTTGAGCAGCTGTTTAGTTATGTCTTGTTTATGGCACATTTTCCTGAACTTGTGAGACTCGAAACTCTGATTTGCTTTTCAGTGTCATCTGCTGACAGCTTCCCCTGCCTGTCCGGTGTGCTTCTCCAAAGTGTCCTCCTTTCTGAATCGGCTCATTCATTGTCCTGGCCTGGGCCCGGGACCATCCTTGTGTCCCTGCCTTTTGTGTTCCTAGAAGGTTCTTTTTGTTTTCTTCCATCACATACAAATTCTACATCGATTGTAAAACTTTTTCTTACATTTTAAGGACCTCACTGACTTATCTTTCTCCTGGGACACTGTTTGTTTCTTTGGAGAATAATAAATTGAACCCAGGGCCTCAATTATGGTAGGCAAGAGCTCTACGGTGGGTCCACACCTCGAGCCTCTTTCCCGTTTTCTGAACTCGGGAAGGTCTTTAGTCAAAGTATCTGTCTGTCTATCTGTCCATTGATCGTCTACCAGCCCACCATCTATCTGGAGATAACACATATATCTCCCTTCCTATATGTTTCTATATTGCTTTTCATATTTTT